ATACTCTTCTTTATTCAGCAGATGTTATTAAAGAGCAGATAAATAGTTAGGTCTATTTGAATACCTATAAGTCTTGAAACAAAATAGAAAATATCAACAACAACAAGAACTAAGGGATTTTTTAATAAAAAATGACTTGTTAGAAAACATGAAATATTTTAAAATATGATATGATTAATGATGATACAATGAGAATAAGGCTTTATTGCACACGTCATGACTGGATTTGATCTAACACAAACATTTTTTAAAAATTTAATTCCATTAAATTCTTCATTACTAATATTCTTTATCTTTTTCCTTTTAACTGTTCTCATAAATATTTCTGAATAATTATGCAATTTTCGACAAATGGTAGAAAATACATGAAGATGACAATGCGCTTGGATTTTACACGATGTAAAACTTTAGCCCTTGAGACGATCTGATGAAGAAGACTTATTATGGAAAGTCTATTTACACATGAAATGCAGGGAAAATCTTTAAGAACCCCTCTCGAAATTATCTCCAAGGTGCACAGTACATCCGATCCTGGCGAAATCTTCCATAAATGTTAGGCACAATGAGTTACAGAAACGAAGAAAATATTTTCTCTTTAAGTCTTACGGTTCAGGAGTTTTTCCGTGATCAAGGTTCAAAAAGGACTCTGAAGTGCGTCCCCAGATTTTTTAATATACTTCAAGCTGGGGAGTTCAGGTTTGTTTTATATTAAACTACACCATTTGCAAATACAAATCATTTTACATTAAAATATCGAAGAAAATCATTAACAGGTCATCCATTCAGGCTGTCCGATCGTAGGTAACAAGCAAAAGGGAACATTACAGGACACTGGAATTGCAAAACTTTCCAGCATTTGATTGTGAAAGTGCATAGTCAATGCATGATCGACTATAGTTGACGACTTTTGCACATGAACTTTATAATCAGTTTTCAGATACATTCGTCCGCGTTTTACATCATCAACGAGTTTTTTTTTGAATCACTATCCAATGATAGATCATTCATCATGTCAATAAGATTATCATATGCCAGACTAGCGTTAGCTGCAAAATAGTTCACTCCTTGTAAACTGTGTCTTGTGGACGCTTTACACGAATTTAGTAATGATAAAAGACTTGTACGACCACGTGGAAGAAAACCCGGATTATTTTCAGCAACGTACTCAAAATATTGATCAACAAGTCTCGAAGGTATCATATTTCTGATTGTATTTGGAACGTAAAGTTCAACACCAGTCGAAAGACGTAGACACTGTTCGACAAAAGGCAGATCAGTACAACTATGTCGTGATAAGACAAAGTCTATAAAATGTTCCACCTGAAAATCACTAAATCTTGCCAAAGTCGATGAAGCACGTTCAACCTGACGTCCAGTTCCGTATTCTAAAGCATGACGTCTTGCTGCTGTGAAACGATATAGAGTTAATCCAGGTAAAAACGATTGTATAAGTTTATAGCTTATTTTCGGTGCGACAATCGATAAAATCTCTCTGCGTGTGATCCACTTCTCTGAGTTTTTTTAAGCATCACTTATACCATCCATTACTGCCAGGAATCTCCCATCTATCAAACAGGATTTCGAATCGTTTTTTGTATCGAATAGATCACGTTTGATATCAGTAATATCATTGGAAGCAAGAAATAAAAGTACAGTTTTAATAACATATCGAGCAGTAGACAGAAACGGATTTTTCGATTTTTTAGTTAAATTATTATAGTTCAGTGTAGACCAAATTTCTCTATCATTGCTAGATACTTGTAGAAATGTTAACAGAGCAGTTTTCTGCTCTTTATATCGACCACGATCAACGCCTTCGTCTTCTTCGCCTCGTCTTAATATCAGTAAACCCGGCTCCGACCGGTACTCATCATCCTTCTCACTTTCACTAGATTCATCAATGAATGGTATGATTCCTTTCATCGTTTAGCACACTCTCTACAAATCCACTCGCCATAGGAACTGTGTACTTCGGGATAATCCCCACGAATTAATAGAGCAAGACGTAAATCAGTTTTACGAAGTTCACTCTTACCCGCTTAAATTTTCGTAGGATCTTTAATATTTGTATGTGGTAATGCTGAAGCAGACGGATCCAAAGAATTGTGAGCAGTTGATACACACGTATAACATCTTTTATTCTTCTTCGGATCGAATGACGTTATTAGTTTATCGAAATGCGATGCACAAATACACATGCTATTATAATCTAATTTAGGTGTAACTCGTATGTCACAACGATGCAAGACCGACTTCAGTACCGTGGAGCTGTCAGGAAAGTTAAAGTTTTTCCACCAGTGCTCCAAAACATTAACATCCGATAGATCATAGTAAGCTTCCTTTTTTGCCAATATATGATCGTGGTAAAGACATCGACGTCCATTGGATGCCATTTTTTTGACAGCCTTTTTCCAGTAGAAGAATACTAGCAAGTATTTTTTTATTTTTCACAAAATATATTGACTCGAGTGTACTGTCCTTGGAAATCGAACAAGTTTGAATACAGAATAGGAAGAAAGAAAAAAGACGTATGGTATTACTGATATTTTGATATTCATCATGCACAGAATAGGAAAGATAACAACGTCAAAATAACACTATATGAAATATTCATTTCATTTATTTTTCAGAAAGGAACACGCAGTGTTCTACATAAATCAGGCTCCAAAAAAAATAAGGAGTATTGTACGTCCTGTTAGACGGACTGATTTTATTTGGTAACTTGAAAAACGGCAATCAGAGGGCCCATAAGCCACCGGCATGAGTTTCACACTCATAACCTATGTGGAATGCCTTGTACTGTCATCAGGATACTTGATTAATATAAAAAGTGTGGTTTTTTTCAAGAAAGATTGATTTTAAAAAAATGATAGTATAATTACTCTGATGGTAATAATTGCAAGCAATTTTTCAATATGTTCGCGAGGTCGTGAGCTCATTTTGTAGAGAATTGCACGCTCTACAAAACGCACTAACTTACATTTTGCGAAAAATCTACTGAACGGAGAAAAATCCAGTTTATCGAAAACATTTTGTGTTTAAAACTACTAATTTTTCAAATGGTAGGCTTCCGAAAAATCCAGTTTCCGTTCGCACACATGATTTTGTTCATTTTTTGACGGACTTTCGAATGAGATGTTGTTCGAATAGAACGGATAAAATTTGATAACGTTATAAGCAAAATATCACGGAGGTCACTTTTTTGAAAATCTTCGATACACCTAATTTTGTAAATTCTATAACTCGGCGAAATCAAGTTCAAACGACCGAAAAATGTTTTCATAACCCCAGTTTTGATCATAGAATCCAAAAATAGGAAAAAAACTATAGGTCAAATTTTCACTTGACAGACTTTTGTCACTATGGTTGATGTGGTGGCGAAACGTTTCTTAAGGAAATTAGATCGATAGAATTTTTTACGGGCTATTTGCTCATGTATTTGGTTCCAGTTAAAAGTAATTATTTTTTGAGAATAATGTGTGTCTAACTCGGTAAATCCACTTTTGGGCCACCTTGTAGCAGAGGAAACCATGGCGTTGTTATTTCAACTGTGCAAGTCCAATAAATAAGGAGATCCATAACAGCTGATTTGTACTACTATTATGATCAAGTATTGCCTTGTTTTTCGATTGTTGCTCTTTTCTAACTAGAACATTAAAATCATGCCATTGCTGTGCTTTTTCTTCATATTGTTTATGCATTTTGCATATTGTTGTATCATTTGTAATCAGTATATCATAAATACATTGATCGGGATTTTGAGATGATAGAGAACAGGTTTGTTAGGCCATTGTCAGATGTGATGTGTTTTGATACTGTTGAAATAGTGACTGTTTAAACGTAGGTCGATATCAAAGATTTTGATGTTGTTCATATGTGTCGACATAGTAAAATAATGTTTCATTTTTATTCAACCGCCATGTTTCACCGAACACAAATTGCGCTTGTCCATTATCATCAGTTGTTATTATAAATGTTGAACCATTCCTATATGTAAAAGTCGTTATATTACCGAGTAGACCGTGACCTTGACCAGTTGTCTCTGGTGTTAGTAGTGATATGACGTTCAGGGAATCGTGCTGTTCACGGAGTTGTATAACAAACATAGCACTGTTGGTTAGGTATGTTACAAACCCAAACCCAAGCGACTTGGGTGTATTGGGTTTGGGTTTGGGTACCCAAGTCTAAGACTTGGGTTTGGGTATTGGGTACCCAAGTCTCGGACTTGGGTTTGGGTCAGTTGCCAAAGTACATTAATATTCTTCTTCAATGAAACTTAGCAGTAGTACCTTACGCTCTTCTGCCATACTATTCATTTATCTTTTTCTCTTCATCGTCGCTGTTTTCGCTTTCAAAACTTCAGTTTTTTTCTTTAGTTTTCCCTATTCTTTTACATCATTTTTTATAGTGTACGCCGATCATTTGTTAACATATTTGTGGCATGTTATCAGTGCTTATTTTTTTAGTATTTTTCTCTGTTTCAAGGATCAGGATGATATGAACAAGATAAGTAGAATAAAACATTCAACTGTTGGATATTTGAACTAATCCAAAATGAGCTCTTATCGTTAGCGTTAGGCATTATATGTGCCCACAGGCCGAAATAAACATCTTACATCCTGTTTTCTCAAAAAGCCACAACAAAAGAAGGTATCTCAGTTAAAAGGAGTCTTTTAATAACCCAAGTCTGACCCAATATCCAAAACCAAGTCTCAGACTTGGGTACCCAATCCCAAACCCAAGTCCAGACTTGGGTTTGGGTTTGTAACATACCTACAAATGAGTTTCCAGACTTCTAGAGCCATCTCATACAAGATAAGTGCATTATGCAAGGGAAAAACATAACACTTGTGGATGTTTATTTTTGTTTTAATTTTATTACGTAATTGACCCAACGTGTATTATTATTCGGATTCAGAAAGAAATGGATAAAAAAACTTCCAAAACTACAGTATTCTTCCCAACTGTTCAGCTTTCTTTCAACAAAAGATAAAATGTGAGTGTTGATGTTGGAGTGCTGGAAGATGCTACAAAGTTTGTCCCAAGATGTTTTTAGCTATGAAAAAGTTATACTCAGTCTTTTACTCCCTTTACTTTCCCGCGGAATTGATGACCCTTTAGAATGGAAATACTTTTTATCAGTTTTTTTATGACTTACTTATATTCACTAGAACCGCCATTAAGCGAGTTTTAAAAGTACGGATCGCCTTTTTCTTTTATTTTGCTTTATCACTAAGAGAATACATTTTTTCTAAATCAGGAGCGAAAAATCGGAATTCTATCTGTAATTCTCTGTTTTCTGAACTAGACCTCACTTGTTATACAATAAAAATATCATATTCGGCGTCAGCACCGAAAACTGAGTCGAATGATGTATGTTTCGAAATTTTTCGTTGATTTTTCGTTTTTGATGAAAATCTCAGTAACTTTCAGGTTAGAATAAAAAAAAGTACATCATTCGACTCAGTTTTCGGTGCTGACACCGAATTAGAAATTCCGTTATTCTATTTATAAGAAGGTGGAACACTTTTTCCTTACGGGGAACATCAGCTATAATGTTACCATACATTCACCTGCTAAAGGAATATCAGTATGTTTCAGATCGTCAATATTGCCGATACCCATGAAGGCCACTGGAACGAAGAAATTTAATTTATTAACTACCAATTTGCCAAAGGCTTCAAGTTGAAGCCTTTGGCAAATTGGCAAATTCAGTAAAGCGCTGTGTTAGATATGACACAAACGCATCGGTATCCATGTCCAGACTGAGGTTGATCTTGTCCTTTGCCGCAATGGATGGCCTAATAGATACAGATGGATGGCCCAAAAAACACCATCAACAAAGATAACAGACAGACCCGCCTAGAATCTGTTCAACGGTGAGCGGCACATACGATCACACAGGATTTTAATAGTGCAGGATCTGACCTAGTGAACAAATTAACCTTTCTCTGCTTTCGGTGAGACGTAAATATTCATTACATTACAACCATTCATTATATTGTATCCTTAAAAATCGTTTTCCCTATCAAACCTTCTATAGTTATTGTGTAAAATAGAAACAGCTTTCTCTCTCTAACAAAAGTTTTTTCTGTAAAAGCATCGTTCGTACCAGCAACTTGGACCAATGGTAATATTTGGAAGAGCAAGTGCACGAAGCAGTTAGATTTAAATAATTAAGAGCTCTCGATGAATATTTAAACGTTTCTTTTTTATTTATTCAAGAAAATGTGAACTACTTTATATGTGCGGGAAAACCAGGCAAGACAATCAGAGTAAATCTGTTATTTTCGTTGAGTGATTATTTTATTCGTGTTTAATGTTGTTACACGTAGGAAGAATATTTTTTTTGCGTAGTGATTTGAGTAGTTCTTTGAGCATAATGTCTTCATGACTCTCAGGTCCTTTGTCCTGATCATTTCTATTCATATTAATTGTTTCCTCTATATCTTTACTTTTATTTACTCACGTCTTTTTTGTCAGATTTTGGACTGCATGACTCTTTCCATGTATCCGTGCGCGCGCCTAGTTTCTAAACACTCGAGTCTTGTCCATATATAGCAAATCAGCAATTTTACAAGGGATATCGGAGTTTCATTAAAAAAACTTTCGTTAAAAGGAATTAAAATTTTTAATTTTCATTAAAATTTTTAATGAAATTCTTGTGCCATAAAAAAACTCTAGGCTACAGTCATTTTTAAGAAGACATTTTAATAAAAGTTCTGGTACTTTCATTAAAAAAACGTTTTAATGAACGGTTTTTTAATAAGCGTCACCCAATCCTTCTACACAATGTTGATAATAAATGAATAAATGGCTTAACATAAGAAAACAAAAAATAAAGAGTTGTACACCAGTGTTCGTAAATGTTCAATTTGTTGACATGATTTATTCCACCCAATGTGATATGATACTCATTATAGGAATGCTTCATACAAATTAGATGAGATTGCATTTTCTGATGAGTATTTCAACGATAGACACTAACCAATAGATTCATTTCAAGCAAAAATTCCTTATCCCAAACAAATTTTTGCTATTAACACCATGTTCAACTTCAAATGTCTATTTGCTCTTCCACAGGGTCTTAAATCTATAGGCCCTTGACCAGTGAGATGATGTATAAATATTTTCGAATGACTATTGTGTTATTATTAGATCTATATTAGACAATCATACAATTTTTTTCTACATTTTCAATTTATACACACAAAACATTAGAAACATCATGCTGAGCATACCTGACAACACTATTTTTATTATTGTTAACTTTTTTAATTGTGAAACGATTTTATAAAGCATTTAGAAATTTTTCGGTTTCGTTAAACATCTTGTATAAAAAATCTTAATTTGCACAATGACTGCAATAGATGATGATTTTGAATCGATCACACGATGCTTTGATGCAAATGCACTACTTCATTGTCCAATATGTAAAAAAGATTTTAATGATCCACGAATACTGTGTTCAAACGGGCACACTTTTTGCCACCATTGTATTGAAGTAAGTTATGCATAAAGTTTTAACCATGCGTGTACAAAACTGTTCATATTATTCTCACAGGATTCACTACAAGATGATGGTCTAATCGAATGTCCGGTATGCCACGACACAAAACGTTTAGCTAGCGTCCATGATGTGTCTCAATTACCAAAAAATCATACTGTACTAACATTGAAAAATGCTGAACATCATCGTTTAGCTCAATTGGGAATATGCGAATTATGTAATAAAAAGATGTCCTATGGTCGATGTTATCACTGTAGAAAACTAGCTTGTTTTAAATGTATGCATGAGCATGAACAAATAATTGAGCATGAACAAGAAAAAGAATACAATGAACTAGTACATTTAAAAGAACACATTCTTAACAAAATAGATCACTTTGAAAAAAGTTTTGAGGAATCGAAAAATAACGTGAAACAATTGGTACATCAAGATGCTGAAAAACAAGTGAAAGAGTTGAAAGGTTTGAAGCTATGAAAAACAAAAATTTTCATATATATTATACATGTATTTTAGAACGGGAACAAGCACTCAATGCACAAATCGATGATTTATATCAGAACCATTCGACATCGTCACATCAAAAATTACAAAAGTTAAAACATGAAGTAGAAAAAGATTCTCACGAGTTAGATAAGGTTTGTGGTTATTAAGACTATTTATATGTATTTCATACGTTCTAGTGACATACATTTAAGATTGATCTCAAAAAATGGAATTCAACTGATCGGTACCGCTTAACAAAACATTGGAATGATATACAACGTCAATTAGATGTTCAACATGTTGAATTTACATATAAACCGTTGGCAACAGTTAATAACAGATTGGGCGAAATACATTTTAAACAAAATCAAGACATGATAACAACACAAGCACGTACACCGCATCAATTAGTCCGAATTAATCCTAATGTTTTTAATAGCAGAGGTGAAAGTGATAGAGATCAACTGTCAAGAGAAACAGCTAGTCTATTTCTACATCGTGAAGGACTAATTAATAATGGACCATCAGAGAATTCATCATTGGTAGCAGGGGGAAAATGGAATACAGTAAGTATTATTTTTTTGCAGCACAAACATAATCATTATATTTCACAGTTACATGATGCTTGCATATATCATTATGCTGGTATACAGACACTGAGGCGCCGACATTTGGTCGCCGATACTAGGACGCAACGACAGTAGAGCGCGAACGACATTTGGGCTTCAAAGGCAAGGGTGAGGATCGATGAAGATTAAGCAAACAGTGTTTACAATTGGATGTGATTTGAGAAATAATATAGAAAAAGCTCTCACACCGTACCAAGTTTGTTTAGAAGAAAATTTTATTGTTATGCATCATACCTTTAACATATGCAGTCTTACTGAATGCGTATGTCGTACATGCGCCCAAATGTTGTTCGCGCCCTACCATCGCACGCGCTCCAATGACAGCGCCATAGTGTTGCGCGCCTAAGCGTCTGGTAATCCATTATGCTGCGTTACAGTGAACCTCAGTTTCTCTCCTTCTCTGTTGTGAAAAAAATGTGATTTTGAATGTGCCATGCCATAGGACACACTTGAAATGGTATGACAGCAACCCCTAGAGAAAATTCTGCGCTCTTTCTGTCTATGTCCTACTACGATCTTATGCGATCTTAACGTTAGGATTGTAATCAGGAATAAGTAGGAAGTGTACGGAATTTTTTCGGAGAATGAATCATTGCATTTTCTTGTTAGAATCCTATTCAAATTCTAACAGAATCGTAGCAAATCCTACGGCTTTCGGATATCTGGAGTTTTATTAGGATGCAATAGGATCTTGCTGGGATCCTACTTAAGAGTAAACGAATTCCTAAAAGGATCGTGGTAGGATTTCTCTAAAATCCTGTCACGAAATGTATAGGTTTCTTGTTAGGAACGTATCGTGCAGGTAGACATTTCTGTAAATGTCATACACGATGGTTGAAAATAAGAGTGCCATTATTGTAGAAAAAAAAGAGCGACACTTTAAAACGTATGAAAAATGTTTCATATGGAAAAACCAACAATCGTCAAATTTAGCCATCTCATATTCAGAAGTACTTTTTCTTCGTTTGATGGTGCTATGAGCTATTGAAGAAGTAATATCCTTTATGAGAGTTTATTCGAATTCAGATGAGTGGTCGTGAATCAAAAACCAGTACAATGAAACGAATGGTTGTGACCGAACGAGGTACACCTGGTTTACAATTATTTCCACATGATACAGAAGGTGGTTATCGTGGTCAAGGTTATTCCGTTAAATTCAGTACAAAACTGGATGGTGGTGGTACCGGTGGTGGTTCTCGAAGTCGTTCAAGAATTGATGACCATCTAGTTGATGTCGAACAAGAAGGAAATGAATATGCGGTTAGAAAAGTAGTTAGAACACATAATACTACTAGTCATGGTACACATTCAAATCATACAGATCATTCAACTAATTTTCAAGACGATATTCCATTGACACCTCGTATGCCGGTAACACAAATTAATTTACATGAATACAGTAAAAAAGCGTCACATGTAATAAACGGTGTTAACGAATCAGATAAATTTTCAGCACCAAAGGCGATTGTTGTAACTGATACGGATCAACTAATTATTGCTGGTATGTTGTATATTCTGTACTACCTTCAATCTGAAACATTAATTTTATTCTAGACACAAAAAAACATCGTCTTATCGTATTTGATTTGATAATGAAGTCAGTACGAGTAATAAAAGGTTTCTTATTTCCAGATGGTTTATGTTTAGCTGGTGAACAATATGTTATCATAACTGATAGACATCGTGTATCAAAATATGACTGGTATAATGGAAAATTATTGAGTTCCATTGGAAGTAAGAAAGAAGGTTGTACAAATACTTCATTTTCTTGGCCAAAAGGTGTAGCCATCGATAATAATTCAATTTTTGTATGCGATTCATATAATTCAAGAATGGTTGCATTAACTCATCAAATGCATTATCAATCGGCATGGACAGTAATGAGAGGTATGGACTTTCTTACTATGAAAATTCTTAATGAAATTTGAGTTTTGGTAGTTTCTTCAACAGCCACTAAATTAGTAATTCTTCGTCTACACAGTTGTTGTCCTTAGTGGTTATGTTGTTCGTCATGTACTTCAAAGACACTATCGTATAATAATCTTGGACAAGTTAAGTATATCTTAGTGCCTCGAATCATCCATCCGATAGCTCATTCACTACATTGTGATGTTAATATAGCTTCTTCCTTTCTGGAGGGAGTGAGTACGTGCTTATAAGCACGTACACACTCACTATAGTGAGTGTGAATGGGAAGCTTAAACAATTGAGCGAAAGAACTGTGCGCTAAACTAGTCTTCTGATCAGAGCTGCAGCTGATGGCTAATAACGGCATGGGTGACCATGCCAGACGCTATCGGGTAGCGAAGATATCGGGATACAGAGGCTGATACTGTCAACACCCTACATCGCTAACGACAGTTCTACATGATCGACAGAAACGGTGTTTTACTAATGTACTGAGCCAAGCATTCAAATAGACGCGAGCCATTTTTATGCCGCTGCGATTATCACGGATTTTCAGTCAATAAAGTGCATTTTTTTTATAAATTTATAAAATGCCTTTTTTTAAATCTCAATAATAAAGTCTAAAATGATTTTGACCATGTCCCCTTCGTTGTGTAGTATTATGCTTTTTAACCGTTATAAGTAATACAAACTTAATATGGATCGATAAATTTAACGTTTAGGTTCCAAAAAATTAGATCCACAGTATATTTCGATTAGTAATGGTTTATTATATGTAACCGGTTGGCAACGGATAAAGCCAGAATCGTGTGCATACAATGCCGGATGTATTATTGTTTATGACGTCGATGGTACTCCGCAACGATACATCGATACGGATGCTCAATCATATTTAAATTTAAGTGTACCTGAAGGTATGTGGATGGATAAATTATTGTTCATAGTTTAACTTTTATAATTTGTTGCAGGTATTCTATGTGATAGTGCAAGTCAATTAATATTAGCAGATCGTTATACATCAAAAGTATTATGTATGAATTGTGAGAATGGACAAGTGATTAATTTTCATGGTGACAAAATGAAAGCACCACATTATGTTTGTTTTACGAATAATCAGTCAACAATGATTGTCTCGGATGTTGGAAATAACACTGTACAATTTTACGAAAAAAATATTTAATAATATTTACTGACTTTTATAGGTAGTTCAATATAATGTGTATGCAAAATAACATCAGTCACTTGTTGAATATTTGATTCTGAAATGGTCCTCATTACTTTTTCATATAAAATAGTGAACGTATCTTCTCAATTTCGTGACATAATATAAAAAATATAAAATGATTTATCATTTTTTAACACACAGGAGACGATATATTGGTATTTAAAATAGATAATGATGTGCACAGAACAATGGATTTAGTTTTGCAGTTTACTTCAAAGCTAAGTTCATATGTTCGAATCTCTATTCGTACAAAATTGATTTGGTGGTTTTTGATAGTTTTAGTTTAGAATACTATAATGGTATATTTTTCCGCTTCTATTCTGAAAGAATAAAGCCTATATCAGATAAATGATGTTTTTCACCGGTAGAAGTGATAAAAGAAAAGTGTTTATAGCATGTTTACTCACAATAGAGTGTGTCCATCATTTATTTTCCATTCATTTAAACTTCACTTTGTTGCTGAATAAGAACAATGGAGGAGACATAAAATCGGATTGATAGCGATTTGAGATTTATAACTCAAGTAAGAATTACAGTAAAAACGTGATAAATGAACTAGAGGGTTTTTATCCCATAGTACTCTATGATGGCGATTAACGGATAGGTCCAAAGTTTCTGGACAAATTCTGTGGCTGTTTTTCTTCGACCTAAAAATGTTTGAAATGACTTTAACCTACTGTTCTAAAAACAGAATTCTATTGTGCTCAAATCTATGTTAACAAATTTGTATTACTTCTCTATGAGAAGGATGAAAGATTAGAAAATTCTCTTTTTAAGGCGGAAAAAACTGATTCACTTAAATAACTGAAAGCACGAAAGAATAGTGGACGATAAACATTTTACTGAATCCTATTTTTCATGTAACAGCTGTTCCAGAGAAAACTGCCGATTTTTTGCCATAAGTTTTTCTCAAGCTAACCTTACTTAAAAAAGTTTCGTTATGATACCAAAAGATAGGAGATTTTGTGTAGATTTTATCTTTATGTTCTTTTCAAAATAAGCATTTGCCTAGTTTTTGTAGCAGTGCTGGATGCCGCAAAAAGTTGAATTAGTCAGTGCTTGGTTAGATTGAAATGCGATTTTTACCTGTTTAATACTTGCATTGCACAATCCAAAGATCAAACTGAAAAGTGTATTAATTTTAAGTTTTCTATCGTAAAATGAGACTTTTGGGCAGTGTGTTGTAATAATGGACATTATCTAAAATATATGCAGTTTTACGAAATATTCTTGAAATTGACGATTCAAAAAAATAATTTTTCAGAAAAGTCATACTTTTGAGAAGACTTTGAACAAAAGTGCCACCACATTGGTCCGCGGTATTTCGTCTAAAGTTTCGACTTTTACCAGCAGACACAAACAGTTATGTAAGACCACATACACTATCAAAAAAAGAATTCCCTATTGGTTGGTCTTGGTGGAAAATATCGAAAGGAAAAATGTCGAAAAGGAAAATGTCGATAAAAAAAGAGCAAAACGTCGAAGAGGAAAATGTAGAAGAACAAAATGCCGAAAAGGCAAACGTCGAAAGCAGATAATGGAAGAAGGAAAGTATCGAAAGGATAACGCCGAAAAGGAGGAGATTTCTGTAGTAAAGTAAAGTCTGATGAAGTTCAGTATGGCTGCTACGATGAACGCCTCACCCTCACCTCACCCCCACGTTCAGTGATTTTCAAAGGAATAGAAAGAAATCTCGTTCTTTTCGGCATTTTCCTTTCGATACTTTCCTTCTTCCATTATCCGCTTTCGACATTTGGCTTTTGGCATTTTGCTCTTCTACATTTTCCTCTACGACGTTTTGCTATTTTTTTATCGACATTTTCCTTTTCGACATTTTTCCTTTCGACGTTTTCCGTCAACCCCTATTGGTTTACCACTAAAATCAAATTTCTGAACTAAACTTAACTAAAGGATACCTAGTTTTTCTTCTTTTAGTAGTTTTATCAATTGTGATTCATAAACTTAGACACGTTAAGTTCATAAGCAGCTATGTTTTTTGAGATTTCAAAAGTGTATCGATATAGTTGTAGTTAGTTAGTAGTTAGTTTCTCAACAAGTTTTTTTCTATTATCTAAAAATGTTTGAAAAGAATGCAAACCAGTGTTCTAGAATTAGAATTCTATATCCTTCTCAAATCTATGAATCTATGTTCAAATTTTTTTATTGTTTCTCTATGAGAAGGATGATAGGCCTGAAAAAATTCTTAATATTTTTTTAGTTTGGTAACAGTGACTGAATATGTAATGCAAATGATTTTTTGTTTTCTATGTCATTTTGACATTAATGACATGAATTCAAATCTTATTAAACTCAAAAACTGTCTAAATATATTGTGTTACAAAAAAGAAGCACTTTTTCGAAAAATCGACTTTTTCCTTATTTCATGTGTTTACGTTGATTATTTTTAATGGTTGGTCTAGATTAAACTGCCGTCTTTTGTCCTAAGTTAAAGCTACTTAAAAAGTTGTGATACTGAAAGATAGGAGATTTTGTGTAGATTTATTCTTGTGTTCCTTTCAAAATAAGCATTTGCCTAGCTTTTGTAGTAGTACTGAATACCGCAAAAAGATGAGTTGTTCAAACGTAAACTCAGAAAATTTTCAAACTGATTTTTTAACTGGTTAAGTTTAGTTCAGAAATTTGATTTTAGTGGTAAACTAATAGGGAATTCTTTTTTTGATAGTGTATGTGGTCTTACATAATTGTTTGTGTCTGCTGGTAAAAGTCGAAACTTTAGACGAAATACCGCGGACCAATGTGGTGGCACTTTTGTTCAAAGTCTTCTCAAAAGTATGACTTTTCTGAAAAATTATTTTTTTGAATCGTCGATTTCAAGAATATTTCGTAAAACTGCATATATTTATGTGCAAAGTGCACATAATCTGCAGGTTTTTTGACCTAGAGGAAGGAAAGATCTTTTCCCTTTTGATCTACTTTAACAGCAACGAAGTTGCAAATTCTCAGATTTTGCATACGAATTGTTTGCGAAGTGCAAACAGCAAGCAATCTGCAGATTTTTAACATAGGAATAAAAGGTTTTTGAGTTTTGATAGTCAGCATAGCTCTAATCTGGTATAATAATCTGGTCAACACGCTTTCTGCGAATTCACGAAGTGCATTTGCGAGTTAGCTGACTCCTCAACCAGTTGTGTTTTCAAATTCGTAAAACACTGAGAATTTTCAGCAACATCTAATTTTGCAATTCCTGCTATTCGTCCACGCGCAGGAAGGCGCATTTACGAATTGTCTAATTCTATCATACACTCCGCATTTGCGAATCCTTCGACCATGAAATTAGTGAGTAGTATAAAAGTTGGATCTAGCAATGTGCATTTACGAAATTCATAAAATGGTCTCAGTTCGTAAAATGCCCTTACAGTGTGCATTTACGAACTGAATGAATTAAACGAAGTGAAGTGTTTCATTTTTATGGTATAAAAATTTCAAATCAACAGTTTGCACGGTGCGAAGTGCATTTCGTATCTGAGCGCCTTGGCCACACAACTGAATTCCACTGGATTTTAATTTCCACTGTAACATCTATCAATCTTTATTTTGCATGTGATTTTTCTCATGGTGATGCAAGACATACATCGAAAGCTCGAAAATCAGTTAACAATAACTTAGATTTTGTATAAAAATTTCTTTATGTTTTTAGCTCTCATCTCAGTCAATACAAACATTCAGCAACACTATAGCAGCAATACGTAATTCACTCTTTTTGTAAACTCGGTTACAGGTCAGTTAATTTCTCTCTGTTTAAATACAATTTGTAAAAAAAAGTCACTTTCTATTCGAAAGTATCTTTTCATGTTTGTGTAATGACGAGTACATGAGTATCATTTCCGTTTGATTGACCGACATTTGAGCACAAAACATTTGGACCCCGACATTTAAGCCCCGACATTTGAGCACGCCGACATTTGAGCACGCCGACATTTGAGCACAACGACATTTGAACACCACGACATTTGGGCACAAAAAGCTTTCGGTTTATTTGCGATTCGAATATTATTTATTTCCGTTGGATACAATAAGTTTAATGAGGAATGCTAATAAATTTTTGTGCATATTTTTCTACGATGCTGTTTGACGATATTAATGAATACTAATTTATTAACATCGTAAATATTCTAAACTGTTGATTAAATCATTTAGTTTAATTAAACTTTTTAATTTGTTAACTTAAACTTGTATATATAATATTGCTCTGTATTATACATTTCACTTTTCTACATTTGCTCACTATTAAACATGTCTCAACAAACTATTACTATGATAAAACCTTCTCGTGGTGCTGATCAAATGTTACTTGATGGATATAAGTATCGTTTAGATCGAAACAAATGGCGTTGTACAATCAGTAAGTGTCCCGATCGTTTAAATTCCGTTAATGGTGTTCATAATATCAGTATTGATCATAATCACGCACCAGATCCTGATAAGATTACTGCTGCAATATTTAAATCAACTATTAGAGATATAACTCCAGATGATATCAGTTCACTTCCATCATATCAAGCGTCACAACGTACAATCGAAAGACGTCGTAAAAAAGCGGATCATCCATTACCAACACCACAACAGCTGAGTGATATTCATTTTCCGCAAGAACTTACTCTTACAACAACAAATGAACGCTTTTTATTATGTGATATTAATCATCATCAACACAGAATTATTATATTTGCATCGGACAAAGACCTTGAACGTTTATCGAATTCAGAAAGATGGCATTGTGATGGCACGTTTAAAATTGCACCTCAATTATTTCATCAGATGTATACAATTCATGGAATAATTAAAAACAAAAGTGTACCGTTAGTTTATGCATTCTTAAGCGGAAAATCACAACAATTATATGAAGAAATGTTTAACGAAATTATTAATAATATTACCAAAGAGCCAAAATTTGTTACTATTGATTTTGAAACTGCAGTAGCCAATGCTCTTAAAGCAACATTTCAAAATGTCACTGTTTTTGGGTGTTTTTTTCATTATAAACAAGCAGCATGGCGTAAAATTATGCAACTTCGATTAACATGCTCTTTCTTGTAGTATCCCATACCGATGAGAACTTTACAAAAAAGAATGTTGTTAGGTCGAATTGTAGAATCGAGAAACGATCATTTATTGTCACTTCAATATTTTCCTTGAAAGTCGATCGAATATCAATCGTTCAGAGAAGAACACACGTATCACCTTTGATTTAGCTGTAATTTGTTTGATGAAACTGCACGAACACCATGCGTCTCATGAGTAGAACGATGAAAAGAAAAGTAGCTGTCTGTGTTCATTATCACCATATTGGATTCGATATGGTGTGAATTCGGATAGATGTATAATATCCATTGTTCATCAGACCACTCTACCGCCGAGAGCCATGTTGTAATTATTTATCGAAAAATGGTCAAAGATTCGCCTTTCTGGTTCACATTTAGCGGAAAGGTGGAAATCGTACATTTGGATAATGGCAGAGATAAACTGCTTTTCTTTCTACTAACACAAATCAATCTGACTCTCTCAACACTGACAAACTAAGTCCGTCAGAGTCACCAATTCTGACGAATGTACCCCTTGACATTGATACGGCCACTTCTCTGTTCTTTTTAAAGTTCTTTTCAAATAGTTTTCATGTTCCTTTTTCCTCTCTCTCTTTCTCCCGATGCCTGGGCACTCTATACTCCTCACACTAATTTCAATACTGTAGAGAAGAAATCGAAAAAATCGGTCATTAACATAGGCGATGGTTGTATTTTTCACGACTTACAGCAGGTTGCTGTTTTTCATTCAAGTAAATTGTGATATTTCTTACACTATTTGGCAGCGTTTTCTGTAGGGAACAAAACTGCGACGCTCTATTAGTGACGAAAAATTGGCCCATCTGCTTAAAACATGACGAAAATAATCGATCCGGTAAAGTGGCATTTGGATCCTCTGTATATTATTATTTGATGAGTGTATTAGATATAATTCCCAGCTATTAACTTACAGTAGCCATGTACATAGCAGACGAATCGATAGACTAATGATGGATGAATTGAGAACTTTTTCCACGCAACGGAGGATATGATTAGTGCATAAATTTCTGGTTGTTGTTGCTTCTAGCTATTCATTAGTGTTGGAACCGCTCAATTGTGATAGTATCGATGGCGTCCAACGGAGGGAAACATATCATGCTATCATATAACCACAAAAGTAAAAGTACCGTTAGCACAGTTTACAATATTCTGAGAGCCGAGAATATTCCAGTTTGGTTCGATGACCGAGACATGGACGATAATATGTACGACAGGTATAGACCTTAGCATGACAGTTCTTTTTCTAACTCTTTCATTGTGTTGTTTTGATGCTTAGTATGGCTGAAGCGGTAGAAAACGCTTCAATCGTCTGTTGTTTTATGACACCAGAATACGAGAATTCTCCGAATTGTAAACTCGAATTACAGCATGCACAAAAACGCCTCAAACGCATCATCCCTTGTATGGTTAGTGACAGAAAAGCGTGGAAGCCGTCCCCATCGAAATGGTTGGACTTAATTACCGGCTCGATACTACACATTGACTTCTCCGATACTTCTGAAGCAAATATACGTACGAGAGTGAATGAACTTATTAATAGAATAAAAAGTCAACCTCCACCTCCAGCAACAGAATCAAGTAAATTATTTGAAGTGATTAGAGACGGATATATACGAAACAGCCATATTCAACGTATCATGAATGAAGAAAGATGTTTCCCTATTGAACAAAGTTACATCAATTTGGCTATGGTAGAAGCCAAAGAACAACAAGAAAAAGAGAAGAAGCTAGAGCAACAAGAAAAAGAGAAGCATCATCAGCCACAGTACAGTAACGAGACCATCGGAACTTTTGAAGAGATTTACGGCACTAAGACCTCAACCGACGTCAAGGACATTTTCAAAAAATGCAAGGATCAGACAAAAAAGATACTCGTGCTTGGACGAGCTGGAATCGGAAAATCAACATTTTGTCGATACGTTACTTGCCGATGGGCAAAAGGGGAAATTTGGTCCGAATATGAACTGGTTGTTTTCATTCAGTTACGTGTGTTGACAGCCAGTCGTTATCCACCGGGTCCCAGCTATTCGCTCGTTGACCTCGTCAAAAAGGAATATTACACTAATCAAGCTATTTCAAAAAAAGAAGAAACAATTTTGAGAGCACCTCTTGATAAAAGCAAAGTTCTATGGCTACTGAACGGCTACGATGAAATTGCTCAAAACGTACCCACACATCTGGAAGATGTAATAGAACAACTAATTAATACTACACATCATATCTTGACGTCTCGACCATATGCGATCACCTTATCATACGATGTGAAAATGGAAATAACCGGATTCACAGATGACAATATTGCCAAGTACGTGGAGCAGTTCTTCGATCAGATCAAAGATACATTAACAGATGATTCCTCCCAAAGCCAGAAACTTTTGAACTTCTTAAAGTCGAACCCGAACATTTGGGGTGTTGCACATATCCCGGTGAATCTAGAATTGATTTGTAGTCTTTGGGGTGACACCGATTGGTCAAAAATGAAAACACTGACAGTAACAGCACTGTATGATAAACTTATAGAATGGCTATGTCGGCGGTACTTGACAAAAGAAAATAGCAAATATGGACGTATCACAAAAAAAGCAGTTTATGCGCGATGTCATAAGGAGTTAGAATTCTTAGAAAGCTTGGCTTTCAACGCAATAGAATGTAACACTATACTTTTGCAACCAACATTGCTCCAAACGACAGAAATCGAGACTGATTGCTCTTTAGACAATTATCCACAGTTACTCAATATAGGCATTCTCAAATCGTATGACCACAAGCCTACGGGCAGTCAAATTGAAGCAGAAAAGCAACATTATTTTGTTCATCTGAGTTTCCAAGAACATTTTGCAGCACGACACTTGGTTAAAACTCTCACGAGTACTAAAAGCCAGACAGCAATCCAATTCATAAAGAATAACAAATACAATCAACGTTTTGCGTTAGTTTTTATTTTTGCATCCGGTCTGCTCACACAATCCGAATACAAAGCATCTATGGATGCATTCTGGTCAGCTGTACAATCAGAGCCATTGGACCTAGTCGGTTTAAGACATATAAAAGTATTGCTTGAATGCATTGATGAGATCGGCGATCCGTTAAGCTTTCCTCAACGCGCGGAGTACCTACATTCTATAGCGCACTGGTTAAAAATCTGCGTCTCTGCGAACCACCTCATAATAGCTGATTATCTCATGCAATCGATGCACCGAACAACATCATTAATGAGTCACCCCATCATACAAAACACATTCATCAAACTTCTCGAAAGTCAAGACGAGCAGACGAAACTCCAAACATACATTACAATATCAAAAGTAACGCTATTAAACCCTCTACAGGGACTCTTATCTCTACTTCTCGCTGCACTCGGGGATGAGCATGACAATGTCAGAAATAGTGTGTGCAAAGCCCTCGGGAACGTAGGTAAAAAATCAGCAACTAATGAGGTGATCGATCGACTGGTAAATGCAATTGGGGATGAGAATCTCAGACATAGTGCGTGTGCAGCACTCGGGAACATGGGCGGAAAAGCAGCGACTAATGAGGTGATCGATCGACTGGTAAATACAATTGGGGATGTGTATGACGATGTCACATATAGTGCGTGTCTAGCACTCTGGAACATGGGTGAAAAAGCCGCGACTAATGAAGTGATCGATCGACTGGTAAATGCACTTGGGGATGAGGATCTCAGACATAGTGCGTGTGCAGCACTCGGGAACATGGGCGGAAAAGCAGCGACTAATGAGGTGATCGATCGACTGGTAAATACAATTGGGGATGTGTATGACGATGTCACATATAGTGCGTGTCTAGCACTCTGGAACATGGGTGAAAAAGCCGCGACTAATGAAGTGATCGATCGACTGGTAAATGCACTTGGGGATGAGGATCTCAGACATAGTGCGTGTGCAGCACTCGGGAACATGGGCGGAAAAGCAGCGACTAATGAGGTGATCGATCGACTGGTAAATACAATTGGGGATGTGTATGACGATGTCACACATAGTGCGTGTCTAGCACTCTGGAACATGGGTGAAAAAGCCGCGACTAATGAAGTGATCGATCGACTGGTAAATGCAATTGGGGATGAGGATAAGGATGCCAGAAATAGTGCTTGTGTAGCACTCGGAAACATGGGTGACAAGGCAGCGACTAATGAGGTGATCGATCGACTGGTAAATGCACTTGGGGATGAGAATCTCAGACATAGTGCGTGTGCAGCACTCGGGAACATGGGCGGAAAAGCAGCGACTAATGAGGTGATCGATCGACTGGTAAATACAATTGGGGATGTGTATGACGATGTCACATATAGTGCGTGTCTAGCACTCTGGAACATGGGTGAAAAAGCCGCGACTAATGAAGTGATCGATCGACTGGTAAATGCACTTGGGGATGAGGATCTCAGACATAGTGCGTGTCTAGCACTCTGGATCATGGGTGAAAAATCAGCAACTAATGAGGTGATCGATCGACTGGTAAATGCACTTCAGGATAAGAAGTGGCTTGTCAGATATGGTGCATGTAGAGCCCTCGGGAACATGGGTGAAAAAGCAGCGACTAATGAGGTGATCGATGGACTGGTAAATGCACTTGGGGATGAGGATCTCAGACATAGTGCGTGTGCAGCACTCGGAAACATGGGTGAAAAAGCCGCGACTAATGAGGTGATCGATCGACTGGTAAATGCACTTCAGGATAAGAAGTGGCTTGTCAGAAATAGTGCGTGTAATGCTCTCGGGGACATCGGTGAAAAAGCAGCGACTAATGAGGTGATCGATCGACTGGTAAATGCACTTGAGGATGAGGATAAGGATGTCAGAAATAGTGCGTGTCTAGCACTCGGGAACATGGGTAAAAAAGCAGCAACTAATGAGGTGATCGATCGACTGGTAAATGCACTTGAGGATGAGGATAAGGATGTCAGAAATAGTGCGTGTGACGCCCTCGGGAACATGGGTAAAAAAGCAGAAACTAACGAGGTGATCAGTCGACTGGTAAATGCACTTGGAGATGAGGATGAGGATGTCAGAAATACTGCGTGTGAAGTCCTGGGGAACATGAGTGAAAAAGCAGCGACTAATGAGGTGATCGATCGACTGGTAAATGCACTTGGAGATCCTTGTATTGACGATGAGCTAGCTGCGAGGGCTCTTGAGTGGGCCGTTTGTTCTTGGGATGGTATCAAACAATTAGACTCAAATGCGGTATCGAAATTATTCTCATGCATCCGGCGGAATTGTAAGGGTACTCTGAGAAGGGTGCCTCCAGCTCAATTCATCAAGGTGTTTTTGGAGACGGGAAATGATGCTTGGCTCGCTTTGGCTTTTCATGCTTCATTGCTTCAAGGAAGTGCGGTAACTGTGGTGGAGAACAATATTGTGATCTACGGTGGTAAAGAACCAGTTCAGCTTCATGTTTCGCGGCCAGAATTGTGTCGGAAGTTAGTTAACGCTTTTAGGAATCAGAGGAAAGAACTTGAAAAATCGTCTATTACAGTGTCAAAATCTGAAGGAAGAACGACAAAAACTATGTCGGTTTGCGCGGTTTTATAGGGACGCTCATCGATGTTTTAGCGGATGTTATCCTCCCATGGGAACGATTTGATCCTCGATACTGTGAGCTGTGTTTTTGTTTTATTTTTAAAAGTACTGCTAATTTCGCGCGTTAGTGGGGCACCCTGCTGCCTATCAGCATAGGTAATTGCGCTCTTCGAATCTCGTTTTTTGTATGGCATGTTTTGTCTGTTCTTTTTCTTTCTATCGGATCTCTGCGAAGCT